GCATTAGGGGGAAGGCTCTAGGGCCCTGTCTGCCATGCCATCTTCCTTTTAGAGAGTCGGGAGGGAAGCTGCGAGCCTCTTCTTACCTCTGCAGCCTGGTGATGCTGCTCCAAGGCCTGGTCCACGGCGATGTGGACGGAGTCTCGTACTGCTCGTTGGTGCTCCAGCAGGACGGCACCTAGACGAGCTGTGAGCATGGTGTGGACTCCTGAAAGAAGGGAGAGTGAGCCTGTGGCCACCCAGGACTGCAGCTGTGGACCATGAGCCGGGGCTGGGTTGGGGGAGATCCTTTCTGAAGGAGAGGTCGCTTCTCCTCATCCACAAAGTACTTTTTTGACCAAAACAAAACAAAAAAACACCCTAGCAACTTAAAAACCCTCTCAATTCCCACTTACAAATGAAAGAATGCACAAGAAAATTACAAAGAGGAATCTTACTTTTGAAGATGAGTGAGGGATCTTGTTTAATTCGTGTCAGAAACAGAAACACGTATCGCATATTTTGCTGGGTAAAATAACACATATAATATAAAATATAATAAAACGTGTTCCCACTGAGTCAGCTCTAGCCCACGGTGCCCCATGCGTGTGGGCACAGGACCGTGCTCCGTGCGGTTTGCAGCGGTGGTTCTCACAATGTGTTGGCCGGTCCGTCTTCCGAGGTACCTCTGAGCGGATGTGAACTCCAGTCAGTAGCTCGGTGTCTTGACCGTGGTCTTAGTTCTCTGTTGCTGCTGTAACAGACATACCACATGCAGACGGCTTTAACAAACAGAGATTTATTCTCTTACAGTGTAGGAGATACAAGTCCGAGTTCAAAGTGCCAGCTCTAGGTGCTGAGTGAAGGCCCCTCAACCTTGGGCTTCAGCTCTGCCTCCTGTTTTAGGCTCACTAGAGCTGGAGGCTTTTTCTAACTCATGCAACTGCTGGCTGCTGAGGCTGGTGAACCCAAGATTGGCAGGTAAAATGGCACAGTCCCAAAACCAACAGGCGCACAGTAGGCCACTGGTTCAAGTCCAGGAACAACTCCAAAATCGGCAGACAACACGGCAGGCCGCTGAATGAAAACTCAGCCAAACACAGGATGCAAGAATGCCAGAAAGCTGGAGGCGTTCCCAAGGCTTCTCCGTATAAACTGAGGGAGGGCACACTGAAGGTGGCTACTTAGCTGCTCACAGCAGAGTCCACCTTGGAAGTGATTACCAGTCTCACCCTGGGGAATAGCTACATCCAGCCTCAGCCAAGTTGACACACAACCTTTACTGCCACAGGGTGTCTGCACCTCCAGGGACTCCCACCAAGTCATAGGTCCCTTTTAGTGACCCTGGCCCAGGAGGCCCAGGAAGGTGCATTCACTCCACAGGCACCTGAAGAGGGCGCTGTCTGGTGACCCTCCTTTGTCAGTTTCCCACGCTCCCCCGGATCCTGTGCTCAGAGGTCCAGGTGAGGCGGCTGTGGCTGGCTGGCTTTTCTCAGGACAGCATTAAAATACAGCTGGAAGGGGCAGCTCTTCCCACAAGGCACCTGATGCTTCTCTGTTGTTGTCACCGAGTTGACTCTGACTCGTAGTGACCCCGTGTACAACAGAACAAAACACTGCCCAGTCCTGGGCCAGCCTCACAATCCTGGCTGTTCCTGAGCCCACCGTTGCAGTCACTGTGTCAGTCCATCTCGTTGAAGGTCTTCCCTTTTCTCTCTGACCCTCTACTTTACCAAGCAGATACCCTTCCCCAGGGACTGGTCCCTTCTGACAACATGACCAAAGCAGATGAGACAAATTCTGGCCATTCTCGCTTCCAAGGAGCATTCTGGCTGCACTTCTTCCAGGACAGACCTGTTCTTTTAGCAGTCCATGGTATTTTCAGCAGTCTTCACCAACACCACAACTCAAAAGCATCAACTCTCCTTCAGTCTTCCCTATTCACTGTCCAATTTTCAATGCATAAAATGAAATTACCATGGCTTGGATTAGGCACACCTTAGTCTTCAAAGTGACGTTTTTGTTCCTTAACACTTTAAAGAGGTGTTTTGCAGCAGATCTGCCCAGCGCAATATGTCATCTGATTTCCTGGCTGCTGCTTTCATGGGTGCTGACTGTGGATCCAAGTAAAATGAAGTCTCTGACAGCTTCCCTCTTTGCTCCATTGATCGTGATGTTGCTTATCGGATGTTTCTCTGTAGCAACGGTAACGCGCAGTCAGCTAAAAAGGTCTGCGACCGGAATCAGGAGAGTGTATGTCCCAGGGAATCTGATTCTTCCACCAACCAGTGACCACGTCATGTTACAATTCTCCACGTTAGTACAAAGAAACGGCTTTAAGCCGCCTGCTCCCCCAGGCATGCTGCGGCTACATGAGGCGGTGTGAGGTGTCCGATCCGCTATTTTAAGGGAAAACGTTGTTCTACTGGCAGCAGCAGCACAGCTGGGCTCCGCAGCCGTCCTGAGAACGGCCTCTGGAAACCAGTCAGGCTGCAACCAGGGCTGTGGTTCCTCGCTGCCGTCCTGAGAACGGCCTCTGGAAACCAGTCAGGCTGCGACCAGGGCTGTGGTTCCTCGCTGCCGTCCTGAGAACGGCCTCTGGAAACCAGTCAGGCTGCGACCAGGGCTGTGGTTCCTCGCTGCCGTCCTGTTTCTGTCATCTCTGAAAAATCCTTCAAACAGGGTCTCTCTTTCCCTGTCTCTCCAGAAATCCATCGTGAAGGGGCTATGCAAACCACTCCCCTCCAAAACAAGCGCAAGAGTACAGAGGTTCTGCTGAGTGACCACAGTCCCCTCTGAACGCAGACATTTAATGAAAAAGCCACAAGTTCATTCCTGAAACAGCTGATGGCACCAGCTGCTTTTGAGGCCACAGCAAAATAATGAGTTAATCCTAGAAAAGTTATCCCGACAAGGCGGGCAGAAGGCCAAGCGAGTGGTTTTTAAAACACATGGAAACAGACTGCAGTTCCTCACAATCTGGTCCCTAAAGAAAGCGCTCTGGGGGAAAGCTTCCGAGGACACGAGAGGGAGGCGGAAGGAGGAGGCGTGATGACAGGCTCTGCCCATCCACTTCATCCGGCGCCCTCACTGCAGCTGCTCCAGACACCAGGAGCGTGAGCTGGTTGTAAGACACCTAGTGTGCTTACCAATGCAGACACGGCTTTGTCTTCAGTACAGCACTGAACAGAACCACTGGGATGCTGCACACCAAGGGTGCCCGTTGTCCCAGGGCTACAAGAACGACAGGGATGCTGGTGTCTGAGGACTCAGACTTCAGCAGAATTCAGGACATGCTTTCCAACTGTGTTATCCTAGGGAGGCAGGATTGAGCCAATGTTCCCTTTGGCAGCCCTCAAAAAAAAAAAAAAAAAAAGAGTGTGCCAGAAGATAGCAGACCTTAAGTCTTCCAAGTCTTTACACTTGGTGAGTCTTTGGTATCATCTAGTTTAACAATTTCATGTTAAAGATTTGAAAAGGGAGCTCAGAGGATGGATGTGACCTGCTTCCAAAAATCATGCAGGAAGCTGGTGGGAGAGCTAAATTAAACCCCAGTCTCTGGAGTCTACCCTGAAACCCTTCCCACAGTCTAAGCTGCCCGTCTTTAACAGCTTCTGCCTCTGTGGGCATGGGCCCAGTAACACCATTAGGCACCCTCACCTGCCCCCCCCTACCAGAAGCCTCCTTCGTTTGGGTCTAATCAGTGACCTTAATCTATGGAACCAGGGGCTGCCTGGGACACCAGACCCTCTACTGAAGAGCTGTGGGCCAGAGCCCAGGAAAGCAGGGCCCCTCTCCAGAACAGTGTGCGCGTGTTGGGCAGAGGCAGGCGAGGCATGAAAAGCTCCAGAGCCGACAATGGCCTGTCCAACACACAGTTGGCACCTGTCCATGGAGGTCTTCTGCTGCTAGGGCTGGAAGCTGTCTCCTTTCTCCTACAGCCTGGAAGCAGGGCCACACCCAACAGTACAGTGATATGATGCCTAGAGAGCAGGGTCCCTGCACCCCAGAAAAATCATCTGCCCCCAGAGGACGGAGAACACAGAGACATCTCAGGAGCACTGACAGAAAGCAGCCGATGGCCCCTTCCCTAACCTGTCACAAGTGCCACTTCTCCCTGCTGGTTCGGGAGGGTGCTGAGAGACGTCTGCACTTACAGCCCAGGGTTTATGGATTAAAATGCATAAACCAACCCCGACTCACACTCAGGGGTTCTCAAACTGATTACAGTTAAGAATCACCTGGGATTCTTGTAAAAAAGGCAGGTTCTTGAGCTGCGCCACATTTTGACATGACGGCAACAAATCCTGGGCCCAGGAAGCTACAAATCTGCTGACCCTACAGGTGGTCCTGACACTCACGCTTCACGGGCTGAGACCAGCTCGTCACCCCTTTGTTGCCTGGGCAAGAGCAATTTCTGCCTTTCCAGAGGTCCATGTGACATTGCCTCGAGTGCACCCCACGGCTGCTCAGGCTGCGTCTCAGGCAGTCACCCCATGGCTGCTCAGACTGTGTCTGCAGTGTTGTCCCACGGCCAGGCGGGCTGCTTACATTTCCTGACTCCACTTAGAGGGTCATGGGCCATTTGACTCCACTTGGAGAGTCATGGGCTGTTGTCCTCAAGCCTGACTGCACATCAGAACCATCTGGGAAACCATCAAAACATTCTGACCCCTGAGCCTCACTCAGTCCAAGGAGGCCAGAGTCCCTGGAGCTGGGGCCTGGACACGTTTAGCAGCTCCCAGAGATGACAGAGTGCAGCGCAGGGTGAGAACACACTCTGCAGACTGAGCTAGGAAGGAAGTATGTGCTGACTTCTGGCCAATGACACTAGGAAGGCCATCATTTAATGAGGCCTCAAGACATACCCTTGTCCACAGAGTGTGTGCTCTGTCTAGCTGATGTGAGGCGGGTTCTTCACTGAAACGTGTTGTTCTACAGACAGACATAGTGCAATGGCACCCTTTCTTTACCCCCTCGCACTGAAGAACACCCAAGCTGGCAGCCCACTCCCTTATACCTACCCCAGAGTTCCATTCGCTGGACTGGAAATCCACTGTGGAAATCCACAAAGAGGAAAAGCAGCAGAGTCTGTCCCCAGGGGTCCACATTCTGAGCCTGAGCCCCCTCCTGGGACTCCACCTGATAACTCACATCTGGAAGCACCAAATCTAGAGGACAAGACGTGACCGCATTCTGAGACAGGTACCGAAGCCAACCACACCGGCTCCCAGCGCCCCAGAGGACAGAGCAGAACTGCCCCAGACGGTCTCCAAGGTTATAATATAATGTTCGTGGAAGCAGACTGCTTCATCTTTCTCCCACCAAGCGGCTGATGGGTTTGAACTACTGCTGAACTTTTGGTTAGCAGCCGAGTTCCCTTAACCATCGTACCACTAGGACTCCTCTCTAAGATAATCACAGCCCCCAAAATGCTAAATAACTAAAGAACCTATGTCTTGAACAAAGAGGATCTGAGAACGCTGTCGAGTCGGCTCTGCCCCATGGGGACCTTCCGTACAACAGAAGGAAACCCTGCCTGGGCCGCGCCATCCTCGTAATTGTTGCTATCTATGCTTGAGCCCACTGGTAACAGCCACGTGTCAGGCCACCTCGTTGAGGGCCATCCTTTCCCGCTGACTCTCTACCACGCGTGGAATACCAGTGGCCTGGCTTTCAGCATCACAGCAACACGCAAGGCAGCTCAGCGCGCCACTCTGACAGATGCTCGGTGGGATCTGAGAACAAAAGCTCTACATTCAAACCCTCCCTCCTTCAGAACCTGCCCTGCAGCCTCGTGACACAGCAAACAGCAGTGACCCTCAAGTAGACAACACAGCAACCGGGCTTGTAAAAGGCAGACCAAACAACACTGCGTTTGCATTAACTGAGCAAGAATTATGTTACGTTCATTACTTCCTCACACAACCTTCTAAGGTAGGTATGGCTTAGGTACCAGGTAGCTGCTAGTAACAGGAAGAGGTCAAGGTCAACCTGAACAACGCTATGATAACAGCTAACCTGTACTGACGCTCACCATGTGCAGCTGCCCTATGAAATTCTCTGCTGTCATGTAGACTGTCAGCAACACTGTGGGGGGGCCTAGTCTTTTTTTCTTTTATGACTGGAAATAACTTTTTTTTAAAATTGTGATTTGGGTGAAAGTTTACAGAGCAAATTCACTTTCCATACAGCAGCTCATGTACACTTTGTCTCATGACACTGACCACAATTTTCCCACAATGCAACAGCTCCCCTCACTTCCTCCCCATAGTTACCTCTTCCCTGTGTCCTGCCCTCCCATGCACTCCTGCCCCCTGAGCTGTCTCCCTGCGCACATACAGTCCTTCTATTCTCCCATGATTGATCTCTCCAAGGAGTGTATCTACCTTAGGGAAATGTCCAGCTCCTATGCCTGTCTTTTGTTTGGCTGGAAGCCACAGGAGTGGGTTTAGTTTGGGACCTGAAGTGCAGCTAGGGGCCACAGTCTCAGTGGTTCCATCAGGCTCTATCAGACCAGCACATCTAGTCCTTTTTTTTTTTTTCCCATTATTTGTTAATGATTTTGAGTTTTGTTCCACATTGTTCTCCCTCTCTATCCAGGATCTCTTACAGAGATCCCCCGCCAAGTGGTTGACAGTAGTAGCAGGGCACTATCTAGTTTTTCTGGTCTCATAGTCGTATAGGCTGAGGATCATATGGTATGCCAGTCACTTGGCCTAATTGTTTCCATGTGTCTTTGGTTTTCTTCATTCATCTTTGCTCTGGATGAGGGGAGACCCATCGTTGCATCTAGATGGCTGCTTGCAAGCTTTTAAGATCCCAGTTGCTACTCGCCAAAGTAGGATGTGGAACAATGTCTTGGGTAGTATGTTCTACCAGTTGAGCTTGATGTTCCCTGTGACCATGGTTGCGAGCCCATACGTCCAACTACTTGCTCCCTCTGCATAGCTGGCTGTGGCCAAGAAGTGACTACAACCTTGCCTGGGGGACCTGTTCTTATGCCTATCTTACAGACAAGAAAAGAGGCATCAAAACCAAAACCAAAACCCACTGCCATAAATTCCGACTCACAGCACCCCTGAAGGACAGAGTGGAACTGCTCACAGGGTCTCCAAGGCTGTCAATCTTCACAGAAGCAAAACCCAAACCACACCCACTGCCCTGGATTCAATTCCAACTCACAGCTCCCCTAGAGGACAGAATGGACCTGCCCCAGAGGGTTTCCAAGGCTGTAAACCTTTATGGAAGCAGACTGCCTCATCTTTCTCCTATGGAGCAGATGGGTTTGAACCGCTGACCTTTCAGTTAGCAGCTAAATGCTTTAACCACTGCACCACCAGAGCTCCTGAAAGAGGCACAGATAGGTGAAGTACTGAGAAAATGAGTGGCAGGTCTGAGTTTCAGGCTGATTCTTAACTGCATGCTCTTAACCCTAATACTCTAAGATATCTGTGTCCCCAAGTAATCTGGTACCTTACAGCAGCTTTCTAGCACAGTGACACTTCAGCAGGACATCAGGACAGTCATAAACCTCACACATGCGGAGCAGCCAGGGTTGGGGGCTGTTGGGGGGGTGTCCTCATGTGACTCATTTCCGAAGCTAACTGAGCAAGTTCAGGCATTACAAAACAGCAAACCATGAAGGAAAGCAGCTAAGCTTGAAAAGGAAAACGAAAAAGAGAGATAGGAAGTCCTCGAGAGTCACCTAGGTCACCCTCTATGACAAGTCTCGAAAGCATGGCATCCTGTCTGTTGGGACCAAATGATCTTCCTTCAGAGGTCGGTCCGGGGCAGTCTCCTCTCATATCCATCGTCCTGCCCCAAATAACTGCCACTGACCCGAAAAGAGACCTGCCCTGAGGGCTTCCTCCTCTATAAAGAGTCCCTGTCCTGCCCATCACCTTCCTCAGGATTCAAATGACCACAGCACCTTCGAAGTGTTGACGCCTCTAGCTAGCCAGACTCCAGCTCAAAGCTGTAAGCCTCCTGGGCAGCAGCCCACACATACAAAGCCTCTTTCCTGGTTCTGACGGTCCAGTTATTAACCATGCAGCTTTTCGTGTGATTTACCCATAACTAACATCTTTGGCCCAACATGAACATAACATACAACTTCCCGGGTTCAACACAGTGAAACTTGTGAGAGCCGGAACGCAACGCGACAGCCTTGCTTTTTCCGAGGCTCACAAGGTTTCCGCCTTTGACAGGGTACAATCTTACCACTTTTCTATTGCTAGTTTCAGTTGGAAATATTTGCGTTTTCCCTCTCTGGCAGGTTGCTGCCTCACACCTGTTCCAGCTCTCGCAGGCTTTAATTACTATGTTTTCTGTCCCATCTGACATCTATGCAGTGACGTCATTCCTTCTAAGCACTTCTATGGATTTTCCCATTTTACTAGGAAACATGACATCATTTCTCTTCTACAACAGTCCAAAGGTGCCATTACTCTCTGACTCACCTTTCTGAAAGCCCAGCGTTGGGCTGAGAGCACAACAGAAAGCCCTGGAATGAGTCCCTAGCACATGAAGGCCCACTGACTTGCCCAGGTGTACAGGTGGCAGCACCAGGGTGAGGGGAGAAGCAGCATCCATGCGCTGTGCCAACATGGCTTGGCTCTCATGGGGCCCTTCCCTGTCTGCTTGACCCTACGTGGACTCTCCCACCCTCCCACTCCCGACCTGGGGCCTATGTTCATACGTAGCTCCTGTCTGCATTTCCTCAAGTTTCCCTGATGTTCTCCAAGTGTCTTCACTCCTGTGCAGAGAGAGTGAGCTATACCTCTGTCCGAGCTGTAATCCACACTGGGGCCCACACACAAGTGGTATTTCTTCCAGTCAATGACACAAGTGAGCTCTGTGAAGATGGCAGCTGGCTGCTCCTGACCGGGCGGTATCAGAGGCAGACCCGACGGTCCATAGAGAAACATGTAGAGTTGCTAAGGAAAATCACCACATCTTAGTGCCTAGTGACTACATGTGCACTTGCATAAAGCACACGTAACACTGGCCTGGTTTGCAGCCCTGGATATAAACACAGGTGCCAGGCAATTCTGTGGGAAGCATCTCTGCACCAATGCCAGGGCCGAGGCACCAGAGGTGGACCCATCAGAATCCCCAGAACCTGATTAGGAGTTTGCTGAGTTACAGGAGCCATACTGGGACCTGGGCTTGTTCACCCACTGTCTTTCCCCGAGTAGACACTCGGATGCATCAAGGCCCAAACCTTGTGCTAAACTCTGGGGACAGGAACATGAGAACCCAGATTGATAACCCACCCTCTTTTATCTAACTCACACTTAGCACTACCTGACACACATTTATTCGTTCATTTTTTACCATTGAAATATAAACTTGGAGAGGATAAAAAAGTTGTCTGTCTTACTTCTTCTGGACAGTGGGACAATCATGAAAAAACTACAGTTTACTTTATACTCTTCTGTATTGTCTAGATATTAAGAGCATTTTATTTTTAATGTAAAATGTCCACTCACAGTCTTGATCAATGCCCTGCTCCTCCCGCCTCCCTAAAAGAAGTCCTCCCTGAAAGATGTTCTCCCTAAAAGATGTCCTCCCTAAAAGATGCTCTCCCTAAGAGATTGGGACTCTCATACACTGCTGGTGGGACTGTAAAATGGTACAACCATT